TGGATATTAGCGTACATCTTCAAAACGTCACGAATGTCGTGAACAATTGTCTTTAAGATGTCTTTAAAACGTGTCTGTGCTATCTGGGTAGTGTAATTCTTTATTAACTAAAAATAAATCTTTTGGTAATACATGTAGATCATATTTTATTTCGCGGAATTAAAAAAAACACTCATTTTATTATGTAAACGATTTCATTCAGTTTATTTCAATATACTTTTTCCTTGTGTCTTATTCTTATTTATTTTAAATTTTGCGCTTTGAACTTGGTTTATACCTAAAAAGATCAATAAAGTATTAATAACATAAATACAAGTTCATTTTTTTATTTCCATGTTACGCCTTTGGTCGAATATGTCAGAATGGAACAAAATTTTCAGCGGCGTTATGATGCTGCGTTTGAGAATCCACATCGGATGCATCTGAGATGTAAAAAATCTTTGATCACGTGATTCAGTATACGTAAATGTAATGGGACAGATGTGTCCGATGTGGATAAAAAAAACGCTCGAGATGTAAAAAATGCATCCGATGTGGATTCTCAAACGCAGCATAATTGCCGCGTTTGAGAATCCACATCGGATGCATCTGAGATGTATTAAATCTTTGATCACGTGATTCAGTATACGTAAATGTAATGGGACAGATTGTGTCCGATGTGGATAAAAAAAGGCTAGAGATGTAAAAAATGCATCCGATGTAGATTCTCATGCCGCGTTTGAGAATCCACATCAGATGCATATGAGATGTTGTGAATTTTTTATCACGTGATAGTGAATTAGATCTGAATGTAGATGTAATAAAAAAACGCTCTAGACTTTATTGGTCACGTGATAAAATGTCAATGACAAGTTAGAAGTTTATAATTTTTAAATTTGACTTTTGAGACTACAAATCAACCTAAGCTAGTCACATACTTTGATTTTCTTTTACTATACGGAGAATGGTCGCACTGCGCAGCTTTCTGAGTGCCATTTAAAAGGAGATAGAAAACTCCGCCATTTTGAACCCTTATTACGTGTGGCCTACATCTTGGCGCAATATTTTTAATAGGTGCGTTTTAACTATCCGCTTCTGCTTCGGAATTGTCGGTTTTCTTGTTTTAATTTGACAAGTTAAAACGACTAAACCGACAATTCCGGAAGCAGAAGCGGATATTTTTTGAGTCTCAGATTATTGCTAAAGAATCAGTTAGCTCACTCGGACCAGTTGAAAGTTTCAAAATAAGATCCATTCCAGGGATACAAATTTAGGATACGCAGAAGACAGCTGTTTTATTATAGGCGGTTGTTATATATTGTATTATCCGAGTTGCGCAGTGTATAAACTGGAACAATGAGATCAAAAGTGCCGACGCAGAGTGAGCGATCTGATTCTTTAGCTATAAACTGTTGCATAGGGTTCAAAATGGCCGGGCCCTATGTTGGGCGTGTCGGACCTCTCTCTTGCGCCATATAGTAAAGAAAATCAAAGTATGTGATGCTAGTACAAACAAAGGATAAATTTACAAACTTGGCTTCACAGAACACTTACTTTCTGGCATGGAACGAACATCACATTCACATCTCATTTCAAATCGAGATGCAAAAAATGTAATCTGCACAGATACATCTGGGATAAACAAACGCAGATGTAAATGTATTAGATGTGTCCGATGTGGATAAAAAAACGCTTGAGATGTAAAAAATGCATCCGATGTGGATTCTCAAACGCGGCATCAAAAGCGGCAATTGCCTAGTCTCTTTGGGCCGATTCCACCGTTGTGTTAAACGGAGATTAAAATGACATTGTTAATGTAAAAATGTCATTTTAAACTTCGTTTAACACAACGGTGGAATTGGTCCTTAGATACTATACTCTGAGCTAGTCTATATAAGAATCCATCGCACTGCATCAACATAATCAAGTACATGGATTTGCTGACAACCAACTGTTAGGCATTCCAAACAAATGAATTACCAGTGGGCAGGTTTGGTGTATATCTAAGGGTGGCGACATATGGTGTATTCTATCTACTTTACGTAAAATCATGAATAATGGATTACATTTAAATATTTTATGTCAAACACAATAAAAATAATATTTAAAAAACCCATCTATACATTTCTTCATAAATTGGCAGGCTTGGCGAGTACTACTTCGAATAAAAATAGCGTCCAAGTTGCAAGACTATGTCGCTACCCCCTTAAAAATACAAGAATTTCCCACTGGCACCTATTGTTTGACAGGTCGTTGGAATGCCTAATCATCTAAAAATTTTTGATTAATAAAGGAACAGTTTTGATGATTGCTAGATGGCATCGATGAATATTTGAAAACGCCTATTGGGTGCTATGATTGAACGTTTACGTTATTTCTAACTATGAAGACTAGTTCTAACCTCTTTGTTCGTAACGTACATGTTAGGCCGAGTCCAGACATAAAGATAGGAAACGCAGCGACCGCAGTAACGATGGCGTCATCTATGCGTCTCAGATGTTAACTAAAGGTACACGTCGGTTGTAGGCAGACAGAGTAGACGCGGACAGTTTGTAAATATAAATGTCAGTTAGTTGCATGTATATCGTAGAATCCTGAATTTGAATTTTAAATTTTGAGTTCACGATTGTGTTATCCTCTAGATGAACTAAGCGAAATGGTTGTAGCTGTTTTTGTGTGAAATTTGAGGACAATAAATATATTTTGTAATGTTACAAGTTGGAAAACGTATTGCATTAGTAACACATGCCACATGAATAAATGTAACAATACCAATGTGGTGTTCTTTAATTAACCAAAGCAAGAACTAGTCATGTAAGTAACACAAGTAGTAGCCAACTTGTCACAAAGTAGGTATTTATTTATTATTTATTGTTTTAAGAGCAAGAAAATGGCTTCAAAACGTTAGAAAGATTTGATATAGCAAGAAAAATATCTGAATTCCCATTATTGAGTTTGCAATCAACACTTATAAATAAGACACCATTGGCCATTCGTTTGGAAAATAAGAACACAAATGTTAATGTTACCAATAACGATCAAAAATTATTAAATATTTGTCATGAATAGATTTACAATAATCAGCCTGGCCATAGGACCCATTTTCGTACGATGGAAAACTTTTTCCAACACATTACTGTTATTTTCCGCCTGTTATGTTCTAATTAAACAGTTTTCCATCATACGAACTTGCCTCGTTACTTTTAAAATTCGGCCTAACATGTACGTTACGGATAACGTAAAAACGTTCAATCATAGGACCATAGATTACTAATGTGAATAGATGGGAAACTTAATGGTAAAATTCTGAGTCGATGTGCTGCCTTCTATCAAGGGAGCGTTCAAGTATTACGTAACGAATTTGGGGTGAGGGGGGTTTTTGTAAAACGTTACGATGCGTTACAGGGGCGGGAGGGGGAGTTGAACTTCCCGTTACGTAACATTATTATTTTTTAACCCTTCAGAAAAGTCGCGTATTTTAGCGACTTTCCGGTACTTTACGCCACATAATTGTGATTTTTAGGTAAAAATAGTCACTTGGTGGTTACGTAACGTTTTACTAGGGGGGAGGGGTACAAAAAAACGTTGCGGCGCGTTACATGGAGGCGAGGGGGGGTTAAAAATCTAAAAAATTGCGTTACGTAATGAACGCTCCCCAAATTGGAGTGGTACTAAAATTCAATATGGCCGCCACGAGTGGGCTTTTTGAAATTTAACTTTGTAGTAGCGCAAAAATGTAATGAAGAAAATCAAATAAAGCAAAAAAATTGGAAAAATATTTGACTAGTTTCAAATCATAAAACAACCATATTGACTGTTTTGTGATTTGAAACCAGTCAAATATTTCGCCAATTTATATCTTTATTTGATTTTACTTCATTATATTTTTGCATTAATTTCAAACTTGAAATAAAATGCAATTTATTATTTTGTTTTTTATTACAGTAAATTATAGCCGCATCATATAATTTGTCTATTTAAACATGGAAATACTTAAAACAAATATGCATTTACACCATTTAAATAATTAAATAGTTATAAAACAAACCTATCAAAAATGGTTTCTGTTACAAAATCAGTATATATAAGTGCTCAAGATCTTTATAAAAGTTTTGCGACTTGGAGTGGCAAATAAGTTTGAAAAAATTGAGGTTGAAGCATCCATCATCCTTTTTTACTATCGAAGCAAATTTGAGTGTGGATAAAATTTGCCTTACGGTTATTGAGTTGACTAGTTAGGTTGAGGAGCATTTCTTCATCCGATAATTGTTTTCTTGATTCATTTATACAGCACTTGTAGTTATCAAATTTTTATTCAACATGTGGGCAGGGTGATAAATAAATTTAACTTTTGAGCATAAATTAAACTTACACACGTTTGGAACCTTGAAGATTTTAGGGTGTTTTCTTGTTTGATGTCAATGGCATTGAATCAATTTTTGATATTGATGGCTGAGGCTCAAATATTTCATCGATCGACAGGGTATTTTGGAGGGCCAACATTTTCTTTACAAAAATGATCATTTAAAAACTGAAAACAAAAAGAAATTTAAATAACAAACCAATTATTTTAACACTGAATCAAATACAAGTTTGTAAATATTACTTACCGTTGGTACAGTGATGGTGCATTTTTCTTAAGACACTTATTACAATTTGGGGGACGACTGCATATTTAATGTGGTACAAATTGCATTACTACCAATATCTGGGAGTGCTTTATTGTTTGTTGCTGAAATCCATCTTCCCATCTTTTGAAAACATGCTTAAAATTGGAAGGTGTTGAAAAATAAATCTAGATTCTAGATGAATCAAAATTATACAACAGCCATTTTATTTTATCTGAGTTTGAAGTTTTGACGAGCTGACAACTGACATGACAGTTCGATACGAGCGCCATCCCGTTAATTGGAGTGGTACTAAATTACCAGCCTCATGTTTTTCCATTTGAGTTACCAGCCCCCTGTATTCAAGCGTGGTGACGTCACAAATCGACCGTTTGGCAACAGCGCAAAGTAACTCTGGAAACTAATAACTGTGTGTCCAGTATGTCTAAATAGAAGGGGCCAATAATTATGTACCTGGAAGAAGCAGAATTAGTTTTTGAAGGTTATTTTGTTGTTATTTTGAATTAAAGTGAACTTTTGTGAAACTATTAAAATGTTCTTGTTTTTGTTAATTATCTAGTTTAAAATGATTGTGAAGTTTGAGAACGCCATAAATAATAATGCTTATGCACAGAGCTCTATTTACTTGGCTTATATTTTTAGTGTTTTTAATATTATTGTGCCTTAGACTAGAATCAAGAACGAACTGGAATTGGTTTCTAATATTTCTTCCAATATGGGTTTACGACATTGTCTTATTCACTGATGCCCTATTTAACATTTTAATTCGATGTAAACAGGAAACTACAAGAAATTTGTTCAAAAACAAGCATTATCTAATAATTGCATCAATTTTTCTAAAATTGGCCTTTCAAATAATGCTATGCTTAAAATTGGAGCATAAATCACTGAATCTGCAAATTTATCATATACTTCTTCCAATATGGATTTTGCTGCCACTGCTAATTACAGATATTTCTGTAACACTTTTCAAGAATACCTATTAAGTAAGTAAATCAATTATTATTTTTAACTATCTGAATTAATAAATTAAATAAATTTAATATTGCTTCATTTACAAATATTTCTCTGCAAGTAGGTAGTGTTTGTATTCTATTTTCTATTGAAACATTTATAAGCAACACTATTTACAGCTCTGACATGTAGGAAGAGTTAATTTGCTAAAAGATATCTTATCATACATAGTTATTAGGTAGGTACTGATACTGATGAACAAGTTAATATTGCCTTGACAATTCTGTTTGCTTACATATATACTAAAAGGAAATAATATAAAAACACCTCGAAAAACACTTTTAGGGATAATTATTACTTAATAGGTTCTTTCGTTCGCTGTTCGTGCAGTGTCCACACCAGATGATCAGCTGTTTTGTGGTGTAATATAAACCAACGAAAGCCTTTGTGTTGATGGGTTTAAAAAGAATTTAATTTTTCATTTATTTATCACTGATTTACTGCAAATCATTTGCATTTAACATTTGTTTTGTTTACTTTCATTTAGTTATAGGTTTGTTTCAAACATTATCCAAACTTTTTATTGGAACTTGGAACATTATTTTGAAGTTTCACTTTCTTGAATATTTTAGAAATTGATTGGGCTTACTTTAAAAAGGCTGAGTCTTGTTTGGAACATAATCTACAGGAACGAACTTTATTTATAATAATAATAATAAAGGTTTTTATTGACTGTTAATTACAAAGAGACAAATAAAACAATAATTCATGTAGATACATTGATATTTCACAGTTAAAAGGCAGAGTTCAGATTTCTTGGGAGGATTCTGTCGAATCTTCCGTAGAATCTGCTCTTCCACTCAACCTAGTAAAATAAAATAAACTAGAATAATAAAATAAACTGAAATAATAAAATAATTACAATATAATTATTAATAAGGAAAAATGTTCACAAAATCAGTTTGGTTAATGAGATAGGTAGATCTGCTTGTTGGTCCGTCATCAATTATATTAAATTAAAATTTAAATTGAATACTTCCATTAAGTAAGCATTCTTTTATTTTTTTCTTGTAGTTAGAAATAGGTAGAGTTTTAAATTTGGTAGGGATGAGATTGTAGATTTTAGCCATATTGTACGAGAAACTGGATCGGAACAGCGCTGTGTTATGTTTTGGCAGTGATATGCTGTCTTTAAATCTAACATTTATGTTGTGAACCTCAGATCTTTTTTTAATTTTTTCGTACAGGTACGTAGGTTTTTTGGTAAGTATAATTTTTTTGAAAAGTAAAGAGGCATGTAGTACTCTTCGGTTATTTAAATTCAACCAGCCAAGTTTCGCAATGTGATGTGAAGTAGAACTACGACGTCTTAGTCCGCAAATAAGTCGTATACATGCATTTTGAATACGCTGAAGACGATTTTTGTTAAATTGCGATAAAGCAGGTCCATAAATTACATCGCCGTAATTTAGTTGTGAAAGAACTAAACCGTCACATAGTAACATCTTAGCCTGCTTATTTAATAAGTGTCTGTGCGAATATACAAGTTTTAAATTTGAGAAAGCTTTTTTTACCACAAAAGATGTATTCTGAGAAAAAGTGAGGGAGTCGTCAATATATAGTCCTAAATTTTTTTCACAGTCTGAAAAAACAATTGGTTTATTATCAATCTGAACAGTAGCAGAATTTTTTACACGATTTTTAGCTAATTTTCGACCAAATAACATAGATTTAGATTTAGTGCCATTAATTGATAGACAGAATTTTGTGGACAATTCTGATAATGTTCTCAAGTCATCATTTATATTATGTGTAGCTTCTTCAATTTCAGATTCTTTAAATTCAAGATAGAGTTGTGTATCATCTGCATAAAAGTGTGATTTCATATATTTAAGGTGTCTATGAAATTGCGAAGTATATAAAGAGAATAAAAGAGGCCCTAGAATAGACCCTTGAGGTACGCCGCGAGTGACTAAAATATCGTTTGAACTTTTTCCGCCTAGAACGACCTTTTGAGTCCGTTGGTCTAGATATGATTTTAGCAGATTTAAGGAAGAACTACTAAATCCTATATATGACAAATGGATCTAAGCATACTGTGATTGATTAGTTTAAGTTCCTCCTTATTCTTTATATGCATGTGGAGTGTATCACTCCTGCCAAATAGCTGGAGGAGAAAGTATCCCCCAGTGGACACTACACTGGCAACCAAAAGGTGTAGTAAATTTTACACCAGGCTGAACGATAGGTATAATGTCCCTTGGTGTAGGTAATTCCTACACCAGTGAGACATACAGAAGAACCTATTGTGTACCTAGATCCCCACTAACGCATTTACTCTTTTCATAATGTATTAATTTAAATTAAGAAACACCTTGCAAAGGCACTTATTCCAACTTTGAATATGAGAATCACTACTACCTTTAAATAACAACTAGAAACAACTAAGTACTGTTCTATTTACAATACGAATAATAAGGACTACAGTTTTCATTATTTAAATGCAGTATTTATCTGCTTAACAGATGTATTTAAAAATGTATTAATTGTGTGACTTGGTTACCTACATTTAAGTCAACAGATTAATAAAAGAAGATGAGTTAATATTCTAATTATTCATAAAAGTACCTATATATATTTAATAATATTAAATTTATTTTGGGTAGGGGAGACCCGGAGATTTTGGATACGGGGTGAGAATGGATGTGTAAGTTTTAGTTCATTCCTAATATTCCTATTACATTACGGAATAGGTGCCAGTTGGCTTTATAAGACTGTGAAAAGTAAAGAAAAAAATATTCATTTTTAGTAAGTCTGATGTAATTTTGTAATATTGGAAGGCATATTTTGACAATGAATGTTTTGTTTAATTTCATCTTTTGTGAGGCACTTCTTAGAGATGTTTTTAATTTGAGGATATGTGAGAAACCACTCAAATATAATTGTTTATTACTTTTTAAATTGTTTATGTGTATACTGAATAGACAATGGACAGGACTATCCAAAGTCTGATACATGGTAACGTACAGGTATTTTTGTTAATTAAAAAATCTGGGATCTGTATAAATGGTTATTAATATATGGCCGGTATCTTTTCTTATTTGGACACCCGGAGTTTAAATATTGACTTAACATAGTTTAGATTGGTATAAGTTTTTCAGTTATATTTTTATGCATATTTAGTTACCAGTTTCAGGTAGCAAGAAGATAGTTTTATTTTAATTTTGTATAAAAAAATCAAGTTTTTTACTAGTCCACTGTCTTTCCAAAACAAGGAGATCATTGATGTCTTTTATGTGAAATAGTTTAGTTTGCAATTAAGATATTGCAATAAGCTGTGAGAATCAAGGTTTCTGATGGAGCACAAATGGAGGTTAAATTTGTTTTTTTACGAATGTTAGGAATATAGATGTGAAAAGTCTACTGTGTCCCCTACTTTAAAACTAATGTTGTTAATAATATCACAGTAACCATATGTTAATTATTACATAATAAATATTAAATTTATTACATAAAGTTTAATATTGAAAATGTTCTTGCATGAGATATCATAATGGGACATACTTTAAATTCTTTAATATACAAAAATATATATTTGATATAGCATCTGGCTTAAAGTACAAATAAAATACCTACTACAATAGTGATACTTATAGATAAGAGTTAAAACTATATAATTTATACTTAGATAGGTAACCACAGACATGAAATTTTTATCAAACTGCTGCAAATGTGACTTCTTTGATTTATATTAAATTTAATTAAAAAAAGTTGATTTTACTTTAAGACCACATGCATATTTTCGTGACAAATTATTTTTACAGTTTTCGAGTAATTGGAATCAATCAATTTTCATTTGTCAAGAAGGACCTGAAAATAAGCGACACCGCCACCACCAGTTAAAAAACGAAACTACTCATTTATACATTAGTGTGACCTTGTGTTTGAGTGTATTTCTGGTACTTTTAACACAAAATAGTTGCAAGTTTTTGAACATTTTTATCATTTTAAATTTCGATTTTATATTGCATTTAAAATAAAATAAGTTTCCAAAGGGCTTAAGTAACTTGAATTAAATTAGAATTATATTAGAAAAATATTAAAATTAGGGCATGTATGTATTTTGTTAAAGTTAAATTGTTATTAAAAAGTATACTTATAATTTATGAATGTTTAAAAAATAATTAAAATAAAATAATTCATGGAAATACAAATTCCCCTTTTAATTTTCATCAATTTCAACTTAGTCGAATATCAGACATTTGATTTTTATGTCATCTGTAGCTATTTTTAAATGTCAGCCCCACATCCAAACTATGACAGTTCAGGTCGAAAATTTTTCAAAGCACAAAGATAAAAAAAATTAATTTTGGGTATGTATGTGGAAACAATTGTAGATTTTAACTGATTCATTTAAAAAGTTCTGACTTATTTATTTAGTGATGCCACCCCCTCCATCTCCCTCTAGGGGATATAGGTTGTAAGAGTTTCATACAAAAACATTGCAAATCAGGTCTATTGTAAATGTGTCAAAAATTAGATTTTCATCTCATCTGTAAGGTAACATTTGGGAAGGCGAGACCGAGTAAGACAACAAGTCATCGCGCGTTACTTTACAACCCGTGAACATTTTTCAAACTTTCTCCGGCTTCGCTCTGAATTATCGGCTACGCTGTACGGCAGAGACAAATACAGCCTGAAGCCATTGCGGGTTGCTTCGCAACCGGTTAACTTTTTTCAAACATCCTTTGACTTCGCTCAGATTTCTCAGCTTCGCTATAAGGCCTTGAGCCAACTTTCAATAAATAACCTATTTCCTTTCATATACGTTTTCTTACTCGATTTGGCAACGTCGCATTTATAGAAACGACAATTGTCATTAAAAATAAATTACTTCTTATTTTTCTCTTAACAATTTGAAAAACGAAAAATAAGAAATTATATACGTTTACGAAAATTTTGTTATGGTTTATTCCTCTTAAAATATTAATATTTTACTAACATACACTTACCTGGAAAAATAAGTTTAGCA